CTGGCAAAAGCACGCATTTATACACAAAATGATTCAATAGATATATTTAAAAAAAACTTGCAAATTTACAATTGTATATTCACAATTTAGAAAAACTTTTATAAATCTTTCTGAATCAGAATACACAATAATTTCAAATTTACACAGTGCACCCAAGTCAATTTAAAAATTATAAGTTAAACATTTAATACACAATAAACAATGGAATGCATATGAATACAATGCTAACACATACATATCTCTCAAAATGCAAATTTAATTTTTACACTTCAAGCGCTTTGAACCATCGTTATTGAAAATAATTGTATTTTGCGCAGAAAATATTGCGTAAAAAATGTCTAATGAAATCCAACTGGCAATTTTTGCTAAATTCACAATGTATCCAATTCTAATTCATTACAAATTAAAATTCGAAAGTAGATATTTAAACAGAAAGCCTTTCTGAGAAAGGTTACACGCACGCTGACATAAAACAAGCTTTTTAAACTGAGAAGCGTTCGAACACACAAACATAAAACACATCTTCTTCTTAATTGAAATGACTCCGTCGATACAGAACAGAAACGAGTAAAAAAAAAAAAAAAATCTATGACACTCATTTCTCTAAAATTCAAACATGGAACAGTAACACACATCTACACTTTGAAATCAAAACTATATAGATAGCAGGGATTCATTACTTATACACACAATACAATTATTACACACAATAGATTTGCAACACAGACACGTGTTTTTAGTTAACGGAACCCTACCCGCCCCCTTCATCAAAAAATTAAATTCAAAAACGTATATGCGTGTATACACACAAACAGTAAAAACACATATGCATGCACATACACGCACAGAGACATGTATACACACAGGGATACATACGAACAAACATACATACCCGTTGTAGTGAATGATGTTCAGATATGCACTTAAACATTTTATTTTAAAATGTATTTTTTACACATTGTTCACACACGCTTCTCTGATAGAGAAAGCGAACACACACACACAAACCTAAAATTTGCTTGACGTACACATAAAGACGCACACATGAAAATATACACATAGTGATTTGTAAATCTGAAACTCGTAAATACACAAATTAGTATCCGATAAACATAGACAATAGGAATATATTGAATTGAAATATACCGTCATTTTTATTTTTTAACCTATTAATTTTTACTTATAATTCGTATTCACCAGTAAGCTAAGCACGTGTCTGTAAGTTTTCCATAAAAAAACTAACGAAGGGAATTCAGCCAGGTTCACCCAATGATAAATAATTCACATAAAAATATATTAAGGGCCGAGTTAAAGACTGCAGCCTAGGGCTCTCACGATTTTATAAAGCGGTGGTTTTAATTTTCTAGATGTTAACCTCTCTAAATAGTTTCATAAACTGAAATATGACAAACTCATATTTGTTAGCTAGCTAGTTTGTCTCGTTAAAACAGTTGTTACGACAGAATAGCGAGTTCGATCCTCACTGGGTGCCCCATACATTCGGCCTCGAGCCACATCTAAGCTACACTTAGAAAATCAATTTATTTAACTGCACTTTGCAGGAAGCAAAGCAAGGAAAAGAAAGTTTTCATTGTGTTTTTAAAATGTTTGACTTTAAAGAAGTGATTTTAATTTTCTAGATGTCATTTAAATAGTTTCATAAACTGAAATGATCAATATGACAAATTCATATTTTTATTTTGATTGTTTTGTTGTTATTTAATATAATACTGGTTATAAAAAATCTGTTATTTTACTATGGTTAAAAATGCTTTTTGCAATAAATAGTAAAATAAAATAGTGGTATTTCTTGAAAAATATTTTCATTGACAAACAAAAAATAGCTATTCTAGTTTAAAGAATTTGCAATAATTTTAACTTCAATTCAAATTATGTAAATGTCGCTAAAAGTAAGTAAAATATATCACGAGTAAAAACTATTCAAGACGAGTCCGGACGAGTTTAGAGGGTGACTCCGTCTGAGAAGGGTTTCATAATTTGATTAGCCTAAGGATCCCAAAACGGTCATAATTCGGCCCTACAGTATGCTTCTTTTTTAGTTGTGCCTATCCACACCAGTGATCAGTCAATCAATACTAGCCGAGATTGACACAACGCGATCTTTCCTTCTACTTTTGTTGACTAATCTGAAAACTTAAGTTTAGAGAGTTAATCTTATTCTTCTTATTCTTATGAGAAAAGTAAAAGTAATTGCGATTTTCAAACAATAACGTCTGATTTTAAAATTTTAGTGATTTATTACAAAATCTACATTTCATCAATGCTAAGTCGTGGTCAAATATTGTAATGTAGAAACTTTTCGTTTTGTTAAAATTGTTTTAAATTGCCTTTTTTGCTCTCCTTAGAAATATTGCGCAAGAAATACACGTGGCCACACTCTGTACTCTATATGCAAACATAAGTTTGTTAGTACATTAGTAAATTTAGATTTTTACATTTTACTTACAGTTACAGAATGAAAAACAAAACTAGCTAAAAATAAATGGTGTATATGCTAGAAGAGTCTTTACAATTTTATAGAACAAAAAATACAAACCACACACGATGCCGAGAACACACATGTGCAAAATAAATGAATTCAGTTTCGTCTTAAATGTACACATTAAAAAAGAACACATGCACACTTTCATTCATACTTTATGAATGACATAATTACACACAACACAAATTATCACACACAGTTCATACTTACAGAGTAATGAATGTCTTTATTTAGTTTTTCAAGTTGTAACACAGCCAGCTCATTCCGCAGGCCAATTTAATTCGATCCACACTAGGCGCTCCAATACAGTGATGACCTTGTACCAGACTATGCTAAGCTAAGCAGTAACAGTGCCCAGAGCAATGTTTACAAAACTAGTTCCATAAAACCATTTTTACTGTGAATTCAATCCTCATTGTCTACCACACACCTGTGGCTTTCGGCGCAAAACCAAATTTGGTCATAGACAGTGAGAGAAAGATCATATTGCGCCAATCTACCAAGTGGAAAAAATGAACATCGAAAACCCTGAATTTTGCCTAGGTTTGCCTGAGTAGAGGAAGAAAAGAATACTCAACCCTCCGTCAACTAAGCAGATTATTCAAAATTCATCAAGACGCATTTGAAATGCACGAAGAATACCATATTGACAAGTGGGTGCGCCTACGGTAGCGCAATGCTAAGCGAACTTGTTTTGTTGACCAATTCGTTAGCGTAATGAGCAGGCCCGTTGCCAAAGTCTTTTAAGTGAAGGGGGCGGCAGCCTTTAAGTCAGGGAGCTACGAGTTAGAATTTGCCAACTAAAATTAGTTCACATCATTTTCATTTAGGGGCAAATGATTTTCAAGAGGGCCTGGCCTTCTCTAACCCTCTCCTTAGTGACTGGACTGGTAATGAATTCGATCCTCACTTGGCTATCTACTCTCTAACTATTGACAAGACGACATACGCATGTATGTCGTCTTGTCAATGAAAAAAGTTCATGAAAAAAGTTTTTAAATAAATATTTTCGGTTACAATGAGAAGACAATGAGTGTACAATCTAATCGCCTGTGTCACATTTAAACCAAATTTAGTTATATTCACAAGAATAACTGTGTTATTTGTACAGATTGTTTATTGTTTATTTCATTATATTTTTAATTTTTAGTATCGGAAAGATAGATTCACAAAGTTCTAGACAGGGTTGAAATTGTGACCCTCGTTCATGTAAATTACAAAACTTTTTTACGATTATTATTAAACTTAGCTACTGACGATTTTATTTTCACACATTACAGTACACGGATGTAGTCAACTGGCTGCTGCATAAATCAAAAGACTGTATTGCGTCAGCTACCAAAATAAATGTTTAAAGTTTGCTGCCCACCTTGAAGATCAACATTAAAAATTCTCGCATTTTATCTGGGCTTGAACCCCGATTACAATGTGTAGGAGATGCAACTATGAGTTTGAGGTTTTTAGGGGTTTTTTTTTTCTTGAAGAAAACAGAAGATAATACTGCGCCAATCTTCTAAGACTATGTAAGAATAGGAATTTTATTTTCTTGTCTTAAACAGAAATAATGACCATTTGAGACACTGGCTTTTATCTCGGCTCAAGCATAAGTTAACACCTGTAAATTATGTACTGAAGGTATGCAACAATGTTGACCACTAAGCAAGGTGATTATAAATATAAAGATTTTTTTTTAATTTTTTACACAAATTGCATGACATCTGCAATCTACATTGTTATGACATTTATAAATAAAAAATACATTTTGCATGTAAAGAATGTAACAGTTCTCTCTCTCTGTCTATCTGTCTCGCTTTCTCTTTCTCTCTCTCTTACGCACGCACACACACACACACACACACATAAAATCAAACAAAAATTTACTATTGTTTCAACATAAAAGGATTTTAAAAGTATATAATTGAAATTCCATTTGAAATTTGAACGAAAGCCAATAAACACCCGCTCGTATAAATACGTGTGCGCACACACAGACACAGAAAATACGTTGTACACGATGATTACACATAACGCAATCTCTTAAAAATAAAATAACTCGTGCACTTTTCAGTTGACAACTACTTATTAATTTGAATATACACACGGCTGCACACATAATGTCGCACACAAACACATATCTATATGGAATGAAGTTTTTTGTACAATATTAGAATGAAGACATTTACTTAAGGTTAAAAAAATAGAATAAGCTTTTTTAAAACTAAACGTAACGAATTCAAACTTCAACGAAAAAATTAACTTTTCTTTAAGAAATTGAACAAAGTAGAGAAAGTACCTTTAAAAACTTAAAATGTAAAAGAAGGACACAAGAAGGCTAATCTGCCCTAACCTTTTTCTTTTTTTTTTTTTTTTTGCTTTCTTCCTTATTTTTATTTATTTTATTCTGATACCCTTCCTTGGTTTTTTGTTTGATTATGATACCTTACCTTCGATCGAACCTCGTTTTTAAAACATTATCATCCCGCCACGTATAATCAAGTTTTCCCTTATTTCTTTCTTCATCGTGACATTAAATATTTTTCTTTCTTTCTTCTTTTAATGCTTACGGGCCCCCAAAATGTCTTTTTTTTTTCTTTTTTTAAGAAATCGATCCAAAAAGTCTTCTTCTCTAGTCTAACTTCTTCTGTTTGTAAAAATTGAGACAAACAATGCCTGCAAACAGCAAAATTAAGACCCCACCCTCAACTCTCCATCCCAGACTATCGACATCTCTCACATCTCACACGGTACCCTTTAAGACGAAATAGCGGAAGGAAGACTATACACGATATTATTAGGTATTGTTACTTACTTAGTAGTAGTAGTAGACAATAATTTACACAGTGCACGCGCGTATGTGTGTGTGTGCGCGCGCGCACTGAACACATCGTCTCTGTAGTAGTAGCTGCCGACAATTAGGACTAGCCTTTTACTGTGTAATAATGTAAGAGAATAGTACACCTTAAATTAAAACTTTATTAGCGTTTTGTTGAGTACGTAGAACGCAAATATTTAAAAAGAAAGAAAAACCGTTTTGAATATGGATTCTTGAAAACTACTGATCGAAAAAACATAAGACAAGTTGATCAGTGGTCAGTTAACTTTAAAAACAACAACAACAAAAAAACAGGCCCTGTTCTTGTCCCATGTTTAATAATGGCAAATTTTACGATTGTAAAGACTAAAGAGTAAAGACAAAAAGTTATCTCTCTTTCTCTCTCTCTCTCTCTCTCTCTCTCTGTTACAGAAAATTCTGTTCAAAAAACTTTTACATATTCGTTTCCTACGAACTGGATGGCATCAAAAGTTTTCAGTAAGGCATACTGGAAATATGAGACACGGTAAAAATAATTATCCAGCATTCCAGTAGTCGAGAGATCATTCATTTCTGGTTCACGACTCTTCTTTCTTTCTATCCAATATTCAACTTCCCATCGGTGTTGTTTTCGACGAAATAATCGTGTTCCCCTCATCAAAATTAGTTGATAAGTGTAGTAATCCATTTCTCACCCATTTCTCTTCCTTTTGAAACGAACGGGTATTTTCCTGTTTGGCTTTCTGTTTTCTTTTTTTTCTTCTCTTTTTCTTACAAAAATCACTTTTCTTTACTTTCACACACATATCTGCGTGTATATTGGTATATATAATTATACATCATGTGTACGTGTGTATATATATGTGTGTGTGTGTGTGTGTACGCGTGCTAATAATGTGATTGTTTGAATGCCGATCTTTCTATTCGGAAAAAATAAAAAGTTTGAAAGTAGAAAACAAGTACATTCACTTTGAAGTTAGTCTCCAGTTCCTTTTGATATTAGGAAAGGAGTCAGATGATCGTTAGTAAACGTTTGTTGTCGAAGAGTTTAATGAAATTAAGCATAGCAGAGATAACTTTGGTAATTTTTTTTCTTCATTTGACGAACAGTCTCCAAGAATTTCTAATATGCATTTTTACGAACAAATCCAGCCTAAGTAGTAGTTTTGTCGGACTCGAAAACTACACTTGCATCGTTCATGCTTTGTGAAAAATTATAAATACAATGTCATTTTTAGAAAAAGCTCCCCAAAAAAAACTTTTGCAACGAATGAATAAAATAACTTTCATTGTTTTGTTATTTTTTTTTTAGGGGGAAAGAAAATACATTTCTCTGGATTGTGAATTTTTTTTTAATTTAAAAATGTTTCTTGGTTGTTCAAGTTTTTTGTCAACTGGGTAAAAAAGTAAAAACAACAACAACAAAAAAAAAAAGGAAATAGCATTTAAAAATCTTTCTTTTTTTTTTCTTTTTTCTTTTTTTTTTTTTTTTGAGATCTGCTATGTAAATTTTATAATTTATAAATTCAGGAATAGACTTTTTCGTTTATATTATTATCATTTCAATTCATTGAACTTTTTTTTTCGAAAACCAAAGCTGTGAGGCTCATTCAAAGAAGCGAATTTTTTTAATTTTTTTATTCAACTTTTTTTAATGCCCAACATGCACGTTAAACAACTAAATCTGAATTTGAATACCAAAAAAATAAATAATATGAAATTTTATTTTTAAGCGTGTTAATTTCTCTCTCTCTCTCTCTCTCTCTCTCTCTCTCTCTCTCTCTCTCTCTCTCGCTGTCTCTTCCCCACCCGGCAAAAAGCCCGAGCAATATATCAAGTGTTTGCTTTATTGATCATAAAATAAATATTTATTCAATTCATTAATTTATTTTCATTGTTTTGATCAGTATGTTCCCGGACCATAGTTTTTTAACAAGTCACTCACTCGATACGATTGCATGAATGGTAACACAGGCAAAGATTGCATTTTATTTTAACGATTTTTTTATTTTTGTATCTTGAGTTGAAAGTATTTTTCAGTGGTATTGTTTATTTTGTTTTAATTTTAATTGCAAAGTTGAAAATATATAATTGGAAATAATGTTTTAAAAAATCTCAATATGAGAGAGAGAGAGAGAGAGAGAGAGAGAGAAAAATAGGCTGCTTGGTGGTTGAAACGGTTGCGTTCTCATATCGGTGGCAGTTGTTGGTTTTCCAGCTGCTTGTAAAAGCTAGGATTTTGAATGCTGATTTTCATGGTTCGACAGGCCCTCTCCCCAGTTAGAAGATGAGAGTAGCACACTCTTCCTTTCTTCATTTTCTTTCTATCTATGCTAGTCTGCTCATCTATCTATCTATCTATCTATCTATCTATCTATCTATCTATCTATCTATCTATCTATCTATCTATCCTGGTCTGTTCATATCTATCGAGAGAGAAGAGTGGAGAGAGAGAGAGAGAGTAAAACTTTTTACATCGCTTGTGAATAATGCAAAAGCAAAACTATTTTATAACATTTGACATTAATGATTTGGTTGTTGTATTTTTTTAGTTTAAATTTTAAAATAATTTTATGAAATGAAAGAAAATCCTAGTTTTATTCAATTGGCATTTTGCTGTGACAAGCTGTGTTTAGCGAGAACTTTCTTTTCATCATTCAAATTGAAGAATGATTTTGCCGAGAAAATATCCTAAGTAAATTAGCCACAAACGCTTCAAGCGTATCTTTCATTAATACGATTAATTAATTTGGATTATTTGCGTTATTTTAATAATAATAATAATAATAATAATAATAATAATAATAATATCAGCTACGATAGGAATGGATGGGAAGTGTGTGTGTGTTTGTGTGGATATGAAGTTTTTTTTTCAAAAATCAATAAATAAAATGTCACTTTGTTTAAAAACTTTTTTGTTCTATAAAGTTTCTCAATTTTATATGAAGAGTTTAAATTGAAATTTTGTTAAATAATATCATTTTTTTTTTAATAAATTCCTATTTCCGATGATGGCCACAAATAAACTTTACGCACTGAGCTGGATGTCAGCAAGAGTGACGTGCGCAGTGTCGTCCTCTCTCCAACTCTTGTCACTTCTCTCTTCTTGGTCAGTTACTCACGCACAACCATACGTGTTAATAATTTTATATACATATGAAATATGAATGTTTGTATTCTACATTCATAAATATTGTACATACACATGATATCGCTCATGAATTATTTATAGGATCTAACAACAATATATGCAAATGATTTTTTACGAGTAATAATTTTGTTTTCAACTGCATATTGGATGGAATTGAAATGTAATAGTAGCTACTTGGGTCTTTTTTAAAGTTAAATTGCGATAAATAACTAATTAATTAGCCTACCTAAGAATGAGAGATCTATCTATCTATCTATCTATCTATCACTATACCAATGCTGTCTATCTACCAGTACCTACCTACCTGTCTGTCTGTCTGTCTACCTAATCTGTCTCTCTACCAATCTATCTACCTATCTATTTACTAGTATGCCTATCTACCTACCAAGTTACCTGCCTGTCTATCTACGTACGTACGTACCTACATGTTTGTTTTTATCTATCTATCTATCTATCTATCTATCTATCTATCTATCTATCTATGATGACACCTGAATAATAGAACCCTAGTAAAAATAAACTTTCCCGTCTCATTCTCTTAAAATAACTAGTTTTAGGGAGCGAGTGAGAGAGCGAGAGTGAGGGAGAATAATCGAATCAGAGAGAGAGAGAGAAAAAACTTCCTTACAAATATTTCTAATTTCTTCCATTCCTTTCTTCATTCTGATAAATTCATTAAATATAAGTTTGGCTGACTGGAAGATCAGCCATTATTCCTTTTTAATCTGGGGACACGTTTGTATTGTGCGTCCACCTTCATCTCTTTTCATTTTCCATCGTCTGCCTTTTGTTTTTCCTTCACCGAAACTTTCTTCCCCTTTTCGTTTACCGATTAAAGAATCCTAACCCCCATTAAAGAATTAACTCGCGACGATTCTGATCTCACTAAAAATCCGACCAAAGAATTCCGGAGATCAACACATTTAAAAAGACTCTTTTTCTTTAACCACCACCAGGGGAAAAAAAGGAAATAAAATAAAAAATAAAATAATAATTAAAAAAAATCTGGGGCCAAAAACACGGCAAAAGAAATAATACACACGGACATGGAAAAAAATGTGAGTTAAAAAAAGAATGTAAAATTATCATCATCATCATCGTTGTAATAATAATAATAATAATAATAATGATAATTTTAGGGATTCTTCTTTGTCTTTTTTTCTTTTGATCCATGCCTTGTTGTAAAAGTTACTTGCCATATCAATCAAGGAGGTGGGGGCGGTTCTGGGAGAGGAATGGTCAATTAATGAAAAGGACTAATTTACAGCCCGTTACTCGTCCATATGATGTTAATGAAGTATGCCTTAAATTGTTAGTTACCCGTTAAATGACTTCCTCCTCCTTCTCCTTCTCCTTCTCCCCTCCTCCTGGTTCGATTGTATAGTTTTGTTTTTGCTTCACAACGCCTTTTCTTCCCCACTTCCTCCTCCACCTCAACCTCATCTGTCTTCTAAATTCTTTTTTTTATGCATATATAATTTCATTTTCTGATTTATAAATCAGTCGTTCCATTTTAGATAGGTAGTTGAATTGACAAAGAATCAGTGATTCGTATATGTACATGTTTTTCAACTACACAAAATAGTAATTTAATTTTAATGAAGTTATAGTTGCTATTAATTATATTTTTAATTTAATAATTATATACCAGCAGTACCCGTGAAAATTTCACGTTTTCCTATTTGAATTTTCAAATGAATTCTTAATTTAATGATTAAATAAGCTCCTTGATTTCCACAACTATAAAATACCCATGGAATTTCCCAAATTGCATCATTAAACTTAATAATTTCAACAAAATAGTGTAATAACAATCATAAGTATGAAGTCAGGTTATTATTTACAGAAGTAAGAGGATACAAATGAAAAGATTCAAAATTGACAAGGTTCTCCCTCCCTCTCTTTCTTTCTTTCTTTCTTTCTTTCTTTCTTTCTTTCTTTCTTTCTTTCTTTCTTTCTTTCTCTAAAACCAAATAGTGTCTCTGATCTTTTTCTTCTTTCCTCAGAATCAAAACAGGATAGTCCATTATTTATCTGAGGTAATGGCAGGATGTAACATAAGCAGGGACACAGGAAGAAACTGAATTATTATGATGTTATATATCCTAATATTGGTTTATATATATATATATATATATATATATATATATATATATATATATATATATATATATTGTAATTGTACTCTACATTGAATTGTATCTATTTATTCTCATTGTATATATATATATATATATATATATATATATATATATATATATATATATATATATATTTATATATATATATATATATATATATATATGCATAGGATTAATGTGAGTAAAAGTTTGTCACTTTAGCTGATTGATTTTACCTTCAGCATCCTGACCCCAGAATTTCATAAGCAGACTTATCCATCCACTCTTCAGAGAGCATCAACAATTTAGCTGTTTCCTTTTTATATACATTTAACAATGATGAATGTTTTTTCATCTGTATTTATAGATAGATAGATAGTTAGAAATATTATAAGTAAACGGTTTGTCACTTAGCTGATCACTTAGCTGATTGATTTTACCTTCACCATCCCGACTCCAGAGTTCTATAAACAAACCCGTCTGTCCACTCATCAGGTAGTATCAGCAATTGACTGCTTATATATATATATATATATATATATAATCGTATTACCCTTGCAAGGCACTACAGCCACTAAGACACAAGGGGTTACTGAGTGTGTAAAAACAAGAACAAAAAAGTAAGATTTGCGAACGAAAAGAATAGAAGAAGAATCAAGAAGACAGTAGACAACAATTGACATTGCATTTAAATTTTTGAAAATCAAAGTTGGTTGGAAAGTATGAATCTAAAAGAGAGTTCCACAAACAAAAAGTGCAAGAAAAGACACTGTTAGCATAGAACTTACAGTTACATTGAGCCAATTGAACTGTGTAGAGATGAAACACTTGCTACAAATACAGTAACTGAGCTAAAATTCATAAAGTCTAGGTACCATAGAGAAAAGTTCATCAGAACAATTACCATGAAAGTATTTATAGAAAAGGCACAGGGAAAGTACGTTATGGCAGTGGGAAAGTGACTGTAGCTGAGATACCAAGTCAGGACCTATAACATTTCTTGGATTTTATCAAGAATCTCCAAATATACAACAGGAGCACGAGAGCAGATGTGACAACAATATTCAAGGCATGAACAAATGGCAGACTTATAAATATGCCCAGATAGATTCTGGAAAGAAAAATTGTCTAGTACAAAACAATGAGCCAACTTTATATATATAATTAATGTATATTTGGGCAGCAACCCTTCTTTTAAACATGTTTCATTGAATATGACAAACAAGGATGATTTAATTAACTTTTATTTAGTTTTTACAGGATTTTTCCATTTGATGCGATAAGAAAGTGCAAAAATTGTCAGTATATATATATATATATATATATATATATATATATATATATATATATATATTGAAGTGTAAGATAGGTCAGTGTCCAGACATTATATTTTTAAAAACGTGGTCAATACAGAGTAGAGCTTAATAATAATAATAATAATAATGATATTTATTAACAATTATAACAAAAACATGTTATAAACTGCTACATAAATGAAATCATGTTTCGACACTGTGTGTGTCTCCTCGGTGGTACTATGTTTTTCTTATAATTATATATATATATATATATATATATATATATATATATATATAGAGAGAGAGAGAGGGGGGGGAGGGAGGGAGAGAGAGGGCAACAAAAGTAATGCCCTTTTTTTTATTTAATAACTTTTATTGAACAAAAATAAATTACAGTAGTTTAAGTAAAGTTATAAGTATTGTTGCATCAAAACAACATGAATTATTATAATTAACCAACTGTTTAACATGTTCAAAATTCTCCACATCATATTCAATACAGTGCTAAACCCTATCAACAACACTTCTACAATTATCTGATACATTTTTTTCATCAGAAATTGCTTGTGTTAACTCAGGAATTATTTTCAGTTTGAGCCCATAAACATGATCTCTCAGTAGACCACACAAGAAAACATGAAAACATTTGGTATTGTTAAGTCTGTTGATCATGATGACCACACAATTGCTCTTCATCATCCTATCCACCTCAGCTTGAAAAAAATGCTCATTACTTTTACTTTTTTGCAGCATATATATATATATATATATATATATATATATATATATATATATATATATATATTTTAATTAAGTCACCCAAGCAAGGTGATAATGCCACTAGGATGCAGGGTTTTACTGGGAGTGAAAGTGAATGAGAAGACTTTAATGAGAAGTGAGGCAAAAGAACAATAAAAGAACAGGGTTAAGGAAAATTAAAGTAATCTATGAAATATCAAAGGGAATTATTTTCTTAATATCTAGAACTCTATCCAAATATATGGGAAGCAGTGACTGATTATAGCAAATACTTGATTTTCAATTGATTTATAATAAGCTCATTCTTAATTTTTCTTATCTAATCATTGTGTAAAGTACCCCTCAGTAACAAATTTTTTTTTCTTTATATTTGCTATCATTAACTTAGTATTTCAATTAGCCAAGTGGTTGGATTAAGTGAGAATAGGAAGATTGTATAATAGCAATTTTCTTACTGGTGAGGGCCAGCCTGCAAAGAAAATCAGCATTCAAAGCACTGGCTTTTTACCTGGTCATGAACACCATTTGGGAAATCTACAACTGTTTCAGCTACAATGCAGTTTACAAAAGCATTTATGATCTCTCTTAATAGGTGATCTGTTTCATTTATTCTTGTATTTTTCCAATTTTCAAATAAACTGTTGCATTTGAAAATTGGAAAAATGCAATTAACATTAAACAAGCACACCTTATCAGTTCAATTTTATAATGCTTGTTTTTATATATATATATATATATATATATATATATATATATATATATATACACACTACAGTTCAAAATTTTGATGTCACCCCCAGAATTAGCATGGGATGAACTTGACAGAAGAGTGAAAAAAAGCTCTTAGGGTCATTAAAAAAAAGAATGGAATCAATTATCAAACTTATACTTTGAGAAACTTTTGCAACGAATTCCAAAACTTAGTGCTGCAGTAATCAAGACTAAGGGAGGATATTTAGACAAGAGCAAAATTTATCATAAAATGCTTTATTTCTTTTTGTCATAATAAAATTTCTAATAAAAAAATCCTGTCTCACATTTTCTAACCATGTATAATAATTTTATCTTATTTAAAGTACAAAAAATCACTTTTTGGGTCAATTGAAAAAAATTTCCCAGGGGTGGCCTTAAATCTTTTGAATTGTAGTATATATATATATATATATATATATATATATATATATATATATATATATATATATATATACAATTTTGAAAAAACAACATTTGAAAATTAGAAAATAAAACATTAAACAAACACACCTTGTCACCTGAATTTAACAATTCTTGTTTATGTGTGTGTGTATATATATATATA